AACATGTTCTGTCCAGCCAGTACTGCTGCTGGTCTTTGCGAGGGACGAGGAATGGGAGTCACTGCTCAATGACATCCCTATATACAATGACGTCACAGCGGAATGACTTCACAATAAAATGGCATTACTGCTCAATGATGTCAGAGTAAAATTGATGTCACTGCATAGTGACGCAACTGCAGAATGACTTCACAGTAAAATGACGTCACTGCTTAATGACGTCATGGCTCAATTACGACCCTGCAGAGTGGCATCGCAGGAGAACACTAATCACACCTTTCACAGCCGCCAAAATCCCGCAAAGACCACGAATAATTTCCTAACCATAGCGCGTGATCAAACATTAACATCGTCATCCTTCTCCTTCTTCGTCCTGTTGTTCTCTCTCGAATTATCACTCGCAGATCCATCACTCTGTTTTTCATTATCGTTGTTTTTCTCACAATTGTTCTGAACGTCACTCTCGCTATGTTTGTCACTATCACTAAGTTTGTCACTATTGTTATGTTCGTCACTATTGTTATGTTTGTCACTATCGTTGTTCTTGTCACTATGAATGTTATCGTCGCTGCCATCCTGTATATGGGACTTGCTTCTCATGACACAGCGGACCAGCACAAGGCTGATGGCGGCCATCATGTACAGAACGCCGAAGTAGTGGAACGTGGATGAGTACGTGCCAGTGTTGTCCTTGAGGGCGCCTGGAGAAGAGAAGAATAAACTTTATAACTTTAAACTTAAACGGCAAGAGACCCAGTGTCGTTGTTGTTGGTGATGTTGTTGCTGCTGTTGTAGTTGTTGTTTTGTTGCTGTTGTTTCTGCTAAGTTTGTTGACTTCCAAAGATTGGTAGTCATGGGGAAACTAAATTGATACTTTCTGTGCCTTTGATAAACGTTTCTGCACAAAGCCCACAAAAAATATGTTTTTAAATAGACATAGGTGGTAAGTCAAAAAAAAAAGAAAAAAAATATTGGTTTCTTCGAATAATAATTTTGAAGAGTGCCTGTATTTATTAACCATGAAAACTCACATTTAGATTGTAAAGTACACAGATTGCTATTATTATTATTGTTATTATTATTATTATTATTATTATTATTGTTATTAGTATTATTATCATTATTATTATTATTATTTCTATTATTATTACAAGTATTTTTATTAATATCATTTATATTCATTGTTATTATCATTCTTCTTCTTCTTCTTCTTCTTCTTCTTCTTCTTCTTCATTTTCTTCTTCTTCTTCTTCTTCTTCTTCTTCTTCTTCTTCTTCTTCTTCTTCTTTTTCTTCTTCTTCTCCTTCTTCTTCTTATCATCATAATTATTATTACTATTACTATCATTATTATTACCATTATTATTTGTTGTTATCATTACACAAGTCCACTCACCTCCAACAGGGAAGGAAATCCCGGAGGAGAAGCCCATGAAGACAGAGTAGAATCCGATGGCGGGCGCCAGGAGCTCCATGCCCAGGACTTCTATCACAACCAGGGTCTGTGGAGGTAACATACAAACAAGCGTACAAACAAACACAAATGTACAAACGAATAGCCTACACAAGTGTACAACCAAATACACAAAAGTAGAAACATACACACAAGTGTACAATTAAACAAACACACAAACGTACAAACGAATACACAAGTTTACAAGCAAATACACGTAGGCCTAAGTAGAAACATACGAACAAGAGTACAAACAAACTCACAAATGTACAAACGAATGCACAAGTGTACTTGTCCCTCCTCTCCTCCCCCCCCCCTCCTTCTCTCTCCTCTCTCAGTGTCTCTGTCCCAGATAAGCTATACAAAAGAAACAATTGATCACTGACATGGCAAGATAAAAATTATAACATTAACAGGAAAAATGACAACTGTGACAACAACAACAACAACAACAACAACAACAACAACAACAACAACAACAACAACAACAACAACTATGATGTCATCTGCAACTACAAAGATGCTCCAAACAGCAGCAAAAATGACAATAGAAATATCAATAGCAAAGACGTCAAAGCCAGTCACGTTTGACAAGGAGTGGCCAAAAGGAAGTCCATAACACCAAATATAAACAGCAACTGCATCATCGTAGTCACACGCACTTAAGTTAGAATTTTTGTTAGAATTTTACGCACTTACAACACAAATGGGTCACCCTATAACATCTGAAAATTTGAGGTAGTACCGGACCATAATTTACATATAAAAGGAGGAGAAATTAGGATGATAGATGTTTGACAGGAAAGGAGGAGCAAACCCCACTAGGGCACCTGCCAAACACCCACAGTCACATGTACGCAGGACTTACATTCTGTGCACACTGTCAATCAAATTGATCAGTTTGAGTAAAGGGCCAGATAGATTTTCCTTCAGAGGTGGGGCAAAGGCTACCACTTCGTCACAATACGAGTGAATTCAACAAAATTTGACTGTGACTTTTAAAACGTATATTATGTTTAATTTTCAAGGTTGCGAGTTGAATTTGTTCCATAGTAGAAAAATGGCATCTTTTGTCTCTCCATGAAGGAAAATCTGGTCGCCTCGTCTCAATCCGATAAATCTGTCTGTCAGTGTTCCCTGACTGAATACCGTAGACTTACTTGTAGAGCCCAGAATGAACTGCTTAAAAGGCCATAGGTCAAGGTCAAGCCTAACAAGGAATCAAAGTCGTTGAAGAAAGGGGTCAGGTGATAGGCGCCAGCGCAACACATGAGAGGGATGACCATCACACTGGACGGTCGCATTATGTTGAAATGGAGGATAAAACCTGGAAAGGACAAAAAACAAAAGTCATCAAAGTAGAATCAACGTCTGTGAAATGAGATGATTATTTAGTTTTAGCAAAGAGTTTTACGGCACTTGCAACATAATAAGGTCTGAATAAGCAATATAAGGGCTGAAGATTAGGTGTGTTACATGAGAGTAACAAACACACAAAAAATGAGGAGGAGATATAAGGATGATTGATGTTAGATAGGAAAGACAGAGCAAACCACACCAGAGCACCCACCAACCCCCCCACAAATGTGATGCCAAAGAAAAACTTTGAACATCACAAGACACAAGACGAGACAGGGATGAGAGACAAGATTGTCAAAGAACAAGTTGGCTCAACTCCCTGTGTGCAAAACATAGATAAACAACGAATGACATGGTTTAAGAATCTGTCAAGACTTCCAACCGACAGTATAGTGGTAGCGAGAGCAGGAAAAGCAGCTGTATCCAACATGGGCCATTCCATAAAAAGTGAACACGCGTAACACCGGAATTATAACGTCTTAGAAAAAAAAAATAACACAATGGTAGAACCATTCTTCATTTTTGTTTTGTCAGAGTAAGGTTGGATATAACAAATAAAAGGGTAAAGAATGACTCTATCGATCACTGCTTAGAATTTTCTAAGTAGGTCATAATCTCCATGTTAGATGTGTAATTTCCATGTACTGACCCAAATGATGAATAAGATCTACCAACATCACCCTCCCCGTGCCTATTCACTAAAAATCTGTAAATTAATGTATGAAAAAGAGACAAAAGTTTAACACAATTTCACAAATACCTGGCACCAATCGGCCAAACATGTCCACCATTGAGGAGACCATGAGGAAGAAAGCCGCATCTTCCTCTGAAAGACCTCGCTCTTTTGCCAGTGGAGGTATGAAAATGGCCGGGTGTCCGGTGCCCACCGATCCCGTGACAAAGAAAATGGCCAGCAGCCAGAACGGACGGGACTTGAGAATGTCTGGCACGGCACAGCACCTGTGTGCCTCGGACTGACAGATCTGGGCGTCGACGCTGAGGGGAAGAGAATTTGATGACTGTTGTGAAGGTACGCGTGAGTGTATGGATTTAACACCTCTTTCATCACTATATTAACCCTATCTATATGCCCAGGGGTCATTTTGTACCCCCAGGGTTGTATTCTTCACATTTTAGAATACTTCTAGTACGAAGATCTCTTTGAAACTTTCAGTATTTTTCAAAAAATCATTTTGACAGACAGCTATGCAAAGCGTACGGATCGGATTAACGAGTAAATTTCTTCTTTGGAAGTGGTGGCACAGATAGTTCCCTACGTAGTATGGATACAATAGTAAAATACGACGTATGGATAGGGTTAAAAAAAATAATTAAAAAAAACACACAAGCAAACTGAGTACGGTAAGCAATTTGTTGAAAGTGTAAAGTCATATCAAAGTTTTATTCTTCACATGGTCTCATTTATAAGATCAGTTCTCAACAGACTTCTGGTGCTATCAATAGAATTATAACGACCTATGTTGTAAACTTTTTGGCCAAATCAATATTGCAGAGTGCACAAACAGTTAAAGTAAAATAATATTAAAAACAAAATAAAAGAAAAGAAAAGATATTTAAAAATGCAACAAAAGAAACTTCATCAAACATTAAAAGTACTTACTCAATGCTCTTAGAATCTACAGATTCCTCATCTTGTACCATCTGGGTTAAATGTTGAGAGCTCTTCTTTGCTTTCTGATCAAACGACTCCGCCTTATTCACCAGAAGGCTTGGCATGCTCGAAGCGATCTGGTCAATGGCCGACACACTTAGAGCCTCGGCGATATCCAGACGCTTGGAGAAATACGGATGACTCCCAGGCAGCTGAAGCTGTGATCTAATCAACAGGTCTCTATCCACCAATTTCCCCTGTAGAAGCGAATCTTTGTCACTGCCCGCACTAGGAATGATATCGTGGCTTTTGCTTATAACAGCAGCTGTTAAGTGCGGCTTTCGGAGGGCCAGGATTTGTTGAATGTCAACTTTCGTAAATTCTGATGGCACCTTGGTTTTGTTTCCTGACACAATTTCGTTTGCTGTGGAATCTGTTTTCACTGCAGTCTTGCTGTCTGAAGTGGTGAGGTCAATGTCTGTTAAAACGTTGTTGTTCTCATGTGGAAGAAGTTCTTGTGTCACCTCTGTGGACACTTCAGCGTTAGGACTGTTGACTAGATCTTTCCTCCTGCTGCTCAATGCCTGCGACGATGACGTCACAGAATGGTAGGCACTAGGGGGCGTGTACAGCAGAATCATAGGAAGCTGCTGCAGTAACATGGCAGACAGCAACACCAGCGCCCCCTGGAGGCCGTAAGAAGACAGAAGGTACCTCGTCAGCAAAGGGAAGACAACCCCACCCACACTGGCACCACAGGAGGCCAGAGTCGTGGCGATTGGTCGACGTTTGTCAAAGTACAGGCTCAGGATGTAGAGAGTCGGACAGTAGATCAAGGCATGCCCGCAGCCTGTTGAGGAGCAAAGACTCGAAATGATTTTTTAAAATGGTGTTTTTACACTTCCATCGACACAATTTTTACGTCTTTACAAAGCAGACTTTTTACCCTATCTGTCAGAGCAAACCCGGGCTGGGAGGGATACAACACCCCAGCAGAAAGACAAGAAATTAATAGCAAACTACATGTTATGTTAATGAGGGGGAAAAACAAACAAACCTGAAACAAATATTACTAATATGAATGACTAAGTAACTTACTGACTGACTAACTGACTGACTGACTGGCTGACTGACTGACTGACTGACTGACTAACTGACTGACTAACTGACTGACTGACTGGCTGACTGACTAACTGACTGACTGACTGGCTGACTGACTGACTGACTGACTGACTAACTGACTGAGTGACTGGCTGACTGGCTGACTGACTGACTAACTGACTGACTAACTGACTGACTAACTGACTGACTGACTGGCTGACTGACTAACTGACTGAGTGACTGGCTGACTGACTGACTGACTGACTAACCGACTAATTAAGTAACTGAATGAATGAACAAATGAATGACTGAATAAATGTGAAGCGTGCTGACAAAATGGGTTAATACTTGAATTTGAGCCCCATGGAAACAGATACAACACGCATATATATATATAGGTAATGTTTTTACAATTTATAAGTATGAAATAAAGAAAGGCATGTCATATGTAAAGAATACGGCATCAATAGAAAACCGACAAATTTGACAGTACGGTCAATTTCTGGCCAATATCTCCCCATTTGTGGATTGCGAGAAGTAACTCATTTTGTCAGCTCTCCTCACAAATGAATAAGAGAATGAACGAATGAAAGAATGACTGAATCAATCAATCAATCAATAAATAAAGAAGGCACACCATAGAAAATGCCCTGTGAAGCGATGAGGTAGATGGAGTTGGGAACAACGCTGCTCACACACACAGCCACCACTTGGAACAAACAACCCAGGAAGCAGGTAAACCGAATTGACACTCGCTTGACCACTAAGTTCATCACCACCAGGGCTGTGGAAACAACAGGAGAAAGGATTTTTTTAGAGAGAAAAGGAGTAAAAAAGGCTTTATTCATTCACTATTGTTGCAAGAGAAAGGATTTTCAAAGAGAAAAAAAAAAAAAAAAGCCCCATTCATTCTTCACCATTGTCGGAAACCAGAAAAAAAAATATCCGAGACTTTCTCCTTGTCTTAACATTTGATTTTGTCTTTGAATTAGCTATGGGTTTTTTCCACGGCTTTATTATAATTGCCAGGTTGCTTTTTCAGGCTTCTAGGTAAAGTAATAAATGTGAGGAAGCGTGGTGGAATCAGGCTCTCGTCAATTTTTGGGCATTTTAAGTTATTGGTATCATCTTGAAGCTTGTTCATTTGTCTTACTTTTTAAAAAAATTACCCATCCATCTTTAATAGAAGTGGAGATATTTTGGATTGAAGGAGGTGGGGGTCACCTGATTTAAGAGGTAAAATTTGCGAGAAAATGGCCGCCAAAGCTTTGTAAATTCAAAAGCTGAATAGTCCATGGAAACTGTAAATTTATATTTTTGTGCCTTTAATCAACGTTTTCGGTGAAATCGTTGAAGGATTGTGTTTGTAAATGGACATTAAAGGTGTTGAGTAAAAAAACAAAAACTTGATAAAAATTGCTAAGCAGAGAAAAAACTGCTGTTTTCTTCGATTTCATTATTTTGACGAGAGCCTGATTCCACCACGCTGCCTCACAAATAATTGTCTCTTGTTTCTTATCCTCAATATTGCTGGGTTTTGTTTCGTGAACTAAAAACACAATTATTGAGATATCTTTTATGTCAACAGGTTGACTTATATATATATCCCAGAACACATTGCATAATTATAATTTGATTCATAGTAAATTTGTTGATTTATTTGACATCATCAGGGACAGGCAGAATTTCCTTCATAAAAGGGCAAAAGCTGCCATTCGAGCGCAATTTGACTTTTTAAAAATTTTACAAAATCAAACACTTACATTTTGTGTCGAATTGGTCGCTAGAATTCAGATATTAGACTTCAATTATCAGGAGAGAGAGAGAGAGAGAGAGAGAG